GCTTATAAAGACTGTACAACTTGAAGCTGTACCCCAAACTGCATCAGGTCCATTTACTTAGAAATCCTCCATCAACTAGCAACCTTGGTCCAGACTTAATTTCAGCAGAATTCCTCTTATTTGATCTCAATAAAATGGATCATAGAGACAAAGCCAAAACACAAAGCTACAGAACCACCAAGGAAAATCTTTGTGAATCTGCATGTGGCAAAGGGTTCTTAGATGACACCACAAATAGAACACATTAAAAACTGATAAACTGGGACTTCATAAATGTATTTTTTTCCACAAAAGACACTATATTAAGGGAATGATAATACAAGTCACACACTGGAAGAAAATATCTGCAACATATTTTCTTGCAAAGATTTGAATACAGAATATATTTTAGAAATTTTAAGACAGCAATAATTTGAAACTAATTAGAATATTAAACTATAGTCAAATCTGAAGATAGTTTACAAAACAATGTGTGTGAATGATGAGTCAACATATGAAAAGAAACACCACAGGATTAAGGTGATATTTATCAAAGTCACAATTGTGTAATTACACACTTATTAGAGTGCAGTTTTCAAAACCTGGCAAAGATATAGGAAACCTGGAAACCTTATACATTGCCAATGGGCATGCAAAGAGGGACAGCTGCTTCTGAAAACTATCCCTGCCTCATAAAGTTAGGGGGATGTTTTCTAAATAATGCAGAGATTTTGTTTTTACTTGTCTACCCAAGTGAGATGACTGAAAAGCCTCTGCATAAATACTTATAGCAGCTTTATTAATTATTTGCATAAAATACAAAACAAAGCAAAACAAACATCCATCAGCTGGGAGTGGATAAAAAATTGTGGCATAGCCCATACAGTGGAATACCACTAGTAATAAAAATGAGTGAACTATTGCTATATACAACAAGATGAGTAAATTTAAATACATTATAGTAAGTAAAATAAGCCATATTCAAAGGTGTCATACTGGGGTGGGGGAGATGAATCAGTAAAGTGTTTGCTGTGTATGCATGAGGACTTGAGTTCTGATCCCCAATACCCACATAAAAAGCCTGTGTAGTCGTGCCCACCTGTAATTCCAGCCTTGGGGAGGCAGAGACAGGAAGATTTCTGGGGCCTGCTGGCAAGCCACTCTAGCCAAGTCAGTGAGCTCCACATTTAGTAAAAGACTTTATTTCAAAAAATAAGGTGGGGAGTGTTAGAGGAAGACACTTAAGCTGATCTCTACCTTCTACACACACACACACACACACACACACACACACGGTGACATACTGTATAATTTCATTTATCTGACAGATCCTCAAAGGCAAAACTCCAGGAATGTAGAACGGATCAATGGTTTCTGGGAATTAGGACCGAGGACGCTGCCTACAAAACAGTAGCATAGGCATTTTTTCTAGGGTCCTGAAGACACTGTAGTCTCATTACAGTAGTAGCAATAAAGCTTTAAGCACTTGTCAAAATTAACAGAGTTACAAATTAGAAACCATTTTACTATATGCATATTAAAAAATTTTCAAAGGAAATAGAAAAATAATTCCACTGAAAGAGAAAATGTAGTTGACACTTTAAAAAAATATTTTATTTATTATTATTTTATGTGTATGAGTGTATTGCCTGCATGTATGTGAGTGCACCCATGTCGTGCAATGCAAAAAAAAGTTTCATCATTTTTATTTTATGCATATGAGTATATGTATTGGCTGCATGTATGTAAGTGCACCCATGTTGTGCAATGCCCACAGAGGTCAGAAGAGGGTGTCGGATCCCCTGGAACTGGAGTTATGGACAGTTGCCAGCCTATGTGGGTGCTGGGAATCAAACTTGGGTCCTCTGCAAGGACAGCCGGTGCTCTTAACTGCTGAGCCATCTCTTCAGCCCCAAGAAAATGTAATTGATACTTTTTAGAACAGATGATTCCCCCAACCATCAGAACACCGAATAGTTTCTGGTTTTTTTTCTTTTCTTTTCTTAAAAAAAAAAAAAAAATTTGTGGGCCTGGAGAGATGGCTCAGAGGTTAAGAGTACTGACTGCTCTTGCAGAAGACCCAAGTTCGATTCCCAGCACCCACATGGTGGCTATGAACCATCCTTAACTCCAGTTCCAGGGGAATCCGAAGCCCTCTTCTGACCTCCGCAGCATTACATGACATGGGTGCACTCATATACATGCAGGCAATATACTCATACACTTAAAAGTGTGTGTGTGTGTGTGTGTGTGTGTTTATGTGTGTAAGGGAGGTGGCTGGCAAAAGTGTGCATGTAGCGGTCAGATGACATCAGCTGTTGGTCCTCATTTTCCACCTTATTTAAGACTTTTCTTGTTTCAATGCGGTGAACTCCAGGCTAGGTGGTCTGTGAGATTCTGGGGTCTCTCCTGTTTCTGCCTCCCATCTGGCCTGGCTTTATGTGCATTCTGAGGCGTCAAACTCAGGTCCTCATATTTTTGAAGCAAGTGATTTTATCCACTCAGCCATCTCCCCAGTCCTTTCTCTGCATTTTGACTGGAGCAGTAACAATGCTATGGAAAGCTGTGTGGTTTGTAGACAGCTTTGTCCCTGAAATTGTTTTCTATCATGACCTTCTTGATGAATATTACCTGGCGATCATTTCCCCAGATCGTTAAAATGGTTTTGCTTCTATGTTTTGAAAATGTTGCTGGCGACGCATCCTACCCGCTGATATATCTGCAAAGTTTCAAAAAAATTTTGTGACTAGGGGGCTAGAGGGTAGCTCAGCAGTTAAGAGCACTGACTACTCTGGCACAGGACCTGGGTTTGGTTCCTAGCACCCACATGGCAGCTAACAATCATTGGTAACTCCAGTTCCAGAGGCTCCGACTACCTCTTCCACCTTCTGTGGGCACCAAATGCACAGATGCATTCACATGCAGGTAAAACACTCACAGATGTAAAAATAAAAGTAAATAAAACTTAGACGCTTCTGAGAATTACTGGATAAGGAAGGGGGGTGAAACAGTAGGAACCTATTTTGAATGTAACATTGGGATAAATAATCTGTGTGGCTCAGAAGTATATATTAAGATTCATTTCCAAGACACCAAAAGGCTCTTTAGTTAGGGGACAAAACTGACACATGGGAAAAGAGAGGGATCCCTACTTCCCACATTTCTCACAAAGACTGGTAGTGTTATATTCAGAATTTTTAAAAATTCCCTACTGAAAGAATCAAGAATCAAGATCTATACATGTACTTTGATACATGCAAACACGCCTGAAGTAGAGGCATGCTATTATTATTTATGGTTTGGATTAGCTTCCTTGATTTTTTATAATCAAGTATTTTTGTGCAATTGCTGAACATCTTGAAAACACTTCAGAATCAACCTAACTATATATTCAGTACAAGCATCTAAAGCATCAGCAATTAAGCCAAGAACTGCTCGCTGCTACTTCGAGTTATCAAGTTGCTTTTTCCATCTGAGGGGTGTTGTAAGCTGTAGTTTACCACGTCAAAATGAGTGACTCAGTGATACAGCAGCAAACGACTGCCAAGCTCCCTGACTGCGCTCCTCCAGGGTAAAGAGCAGTGCAAGTGATGTCACTAGGCTTCAATCTCTTCTTTCCACAAATGTTGCTTCTAAACTAAGACTGAAGCCAGCGGCCAAGATCCTGTGTGTATGTGTGTGTCTGTGTGTCTGTGTGCTCATGCGCATGTGGTGATGGGGAAAGCGGAAAGTCGGGGAATAGGCCAGTGTCTTTCTAGGAGTCTCTTGGAGTGGTAAATATTAGAACAGACTCACAGTTCAGCTTCTGATGAGCAAATGCAGTAATCACTCAAAGGCTCTTTAGAAGGAAAGTAAGGAGATTTAAGTAATCTCTTCTTGTCAGACCTTGCATAACATAAACGTATCAGTGGAAGATGAAGGGCCAATTCAGGAAAATAAAATAGAATCTTGAGGTGATTCAGGGGGAAGAAAACACAGTCGTTGTTTGTAAATGAAGGTTAATGACATCTTGATACTACTTGTAATTTTGTAGCATGCATGTTGTGATGAATTAGTCCAAGCCTCTATTATAAATTGTGACCTATATGCAAAAGCATCAAAATTAAGTAGTTATCTATATTTTATTGTCAAGCGATGTTTCTTTCCATATCAGAGCTCTCCCCCAATATCACTAGGCTCTCTCTCTCTCTCTCTCTCTCTCTCTCTCTCTCTCTCTCTCTCTCTGCTCAGAGAGTGTGAATACATTGACCAGTTGCAATATAGTGTGATTACATTGACCAGTTGCAAAATGATTAAATAGAGAGAGCAAGCTATGTCGGTTACCTACAAATGCCTATAGGGACGGAAAATGTAGGCTTTGGAAAATTCAAATTGAGATTTATTTCCATTAAAAATTGTTGATAGGAGTTTTCATATCGCACCTCAAAAGACTGTACAATGTCACTTTTGACAGTATATTTACCGAGAGACTGACTTTGTGCTAACAAACACGCTGTTTAGATTGTCAGCAGAACTAAAATAAATGAGCTTAGCACAATTCAAACGGATCCTTGGCATATCATCAATCAATTAAGTTCTGCCTGGCACTCTTCGGTTAATATCAAACTATGCAATATAACACCATCCATTTTGTTTAGCAATCTTTGTGTGCAGTCTGTGCGGTTTTCCTTATTCCTCCCTTCTAGACGTGAATGACTTCAACAACAATAAAACAAAAACTGAGGAGATGCGACCAAGGATTGTCCCTACATGGGTTATCCCCACAGGATGCTTTTTCTTTTTTCTTTTCTTAATATTTACAAATACACTCTTTATTGGCAAAATTGTTATTCTTAAAACATTTATTTGAAACTTATTAAGCTTTTCATAAATGTTTTAAGGGAAAAATAACCATCCCATTTGAAAATGTACAAGTAAATTTTCATCTGTGATTATACCAGTGTGACTGGATTAGAAAAGAGAAACATACCACTGTGTTAGATAGGTTATTATTACAAATAATGATAACACGCCTAATGTTTTTATCGAATATGTGCTCTTGCCTTTTCTCTGTCATTTTCAGAACCATTTGGAGGCAAGAAAACCAATGGATCACTGAAAATATTTCCAAATGCCCTAAGACGGTACACCCCATACATCGTCACATGCATCTGATGAGAGCTCAGTTCATTAAAAGTAACAGCCATATTGGAACAACATCCTTCTACTATCTGGTTTGGGTGATCAGCTGTTGCTTCCTCAATGGGCAGCTCAACTGGTTTGGTATTAAACACATTTTTCCCATAAACATTCTCTGCATTTTCTGCAAACACTCCAGCATATTTCAGGCAGATTGCTAGCTGCTTATCTTCAGATATAGTCCAAATCAGTCCTCCCTGTTCAGGACACTTCCCAGGGACATTAAGAAGGCCGTAGAGTCTTTTCATTGATTCTATACTTAAGACGATTCCTCCTTCCACACTCACATATTCCAGGCCTCCAGATTTTATAGTGTGGTCGAGGCAGAAAGGTTGTGATGGATCCTTTTTTAACAAGAAATACTTCAGATTTTCAATCACGGCAAAGGTACTGGTGCACGCAAGGAAGAACCAGTTGTATTGGTCACCGTATTTATCAAAGGTGTATTTGTAAGCTATCCTCATTATCAACCACATGTCATTTGCATGCGTAATTACTGACTCAAACACTTCAACATCTTCAGAGCTGAAGAACTCTGCTTTGCCACAATATTTGGTCCAAGTCTCCTTCACTGCAGCCCAAAGACTCATATCTTTGGGTTTTACAAGAATGATACAGTACACCCGAAAGCTCTTAATGATTCCCATGCGTTCATCCTCTGAAATTTTCAAGATATATTCGTTAGGAGCTTGAAGGTGATGCTCATGGTGGTGCGTTTTGTTTCTATGCCCAATCCTAATGTGTCCTAGCATAGTGATCACGGCACAGAAAATGCTGCCCAGCATCATACCTTTCAAAAACGAACTGCTTTCAGAAAGCATTTCTCCCGAGTCTAGAACAGCTGGAGGACAGCAAAGCACAACTGTGCCTGGCTCACCTCTCACATGACCGATGCCTCCCCTGCCCCCATATGCTCATGAGGACCCGGCCCCTCTAGACGCAGGCAGTGTCCTCTCGTTGGTCTCAGTCGACTTTCTTCTTTAAAAAAAAACAAATTCAAGGGTGAATTTGTGAAATGCAACAAGAAGAAGGGCGAGGAGATGTTGAAGGAATGGAACAAACAAATTTGTGCTTCAGTGATTTGGTGGGAGTCGACCCTCAGTACAATAATAAAAATGGTCACTGGGAACAATCATTCTGGAGACAAGAAGGAGCAAAAGATCATCTCCGCTGACCTATGGAGATACTTTCCAAGACCCTCAGTGGACGCCTCAGGCAATGAATAATTCATATTTACAATTTATATTTATAATTAAGTTTAATTTATAAATTATGTGCAGTAAAAGACTAATAGCAATAGAATATAAAAATTACACCAAGATGCTGTAATGAAAGCTATGTGAGTCTATCCCGGCCCCCCTCCCCCTCCCCCTCCCAAGATGTTATTGCAATATACATACCTTACTTATCCTGTGACGTTATACTTAGAGGAAACACTGTTTGCTTTGTCTTTGGCACACCACCGCCCTGTGCTTTGGGGCCATTATTAGACGAAATGGGGTTTTCTTGAACACACTGTCAACTGACAACTGAGAAGACTTCTGAACATGGTCTACACAGACAGACTAGACAGATTAGAGACTCAGCTAGATGAAGGGCTAACTCATGCCCAGCCAGACTGAACAAGAAGGCAAGAAATTTCTTTATGATACTCCCAATGACATATAATTTAACATTTATAAGTTAGGGACTAGAGAGACGGCTAAGAGAGCACAGGTTGCTCTTGCAGAGGACCCAGGTTTTGTTCCCAGCACCCACATGTCAGCTGACAACTATCTGTACTCCAGTTTCAGGGGATCCAACATCCTCTTCTGACCTCCACAGGCATTGTACAACACAGGTGCACTTACATACACGCAGACAATAGACTCATACGTGCAAAATAAAAATAGTAAATAAAAAATATTTTAAACAAAATTAATGAATCGTTTCTAGAGATTTTCACTTTATTAATTTGGACCTTAGTACCACAGAAAACCAAAGCAAAGATAAAGAGAGACTACTATAATTCCCAAACAAATTCTTATCTCTGATTGTATTTGCTTCAGTTTAAAAGCATAAAATTCAAATTACATTCAAAATGAAAGTCAGTCTCATTACTGAAGTTTTATAAATATCCATTCTTGCCATGTACAGTTCAATTTGGCAGCCAACCTCATAGGTTTATGCGATGGCTTATTGTGGCTGTCAACTTGATACACTTGGGAAGAGACAGCCTCAACTGAAGAATTATCTCCAGTAGTTTGGCATGTGGGCATGTCTACGGGGCACTTTCTTAATTGCTAATTGATGTAGTCAGTGCTATATGGACCTGGGTTGTATAGGAAAGGCAATCGACCATGATCCAGGGAGCAAGCCAATAAGCATGTTCTCTGCTTCAGGTTCCTGCTTTGAGTTCTTGCCTTGGCTCCCTTTAATGATAGACTGTTTCCTGTAAGGGGAAATAAATCCTTCTTTCCTCTTAAGTTTTTGGTCAGAGCGTTTACAGCAACAAGAAGCAAATTAATTCAGCTTGTATGCCTCACTAGGATAAAAACTTTTGCTTCAGAGAGAAGCACACATGCCTAACAGGCGCTTGGTGATCAAAAACTCTGCTTTCTGATGAGATAGGCGCTTGGTGATCAAAAACTCTGCTTTCTGATGAGATAGGCGCTTGGTGATAAAAAACTCTGCTTTCTGATGAGATTACTCTAGCCTCCTACTCTGAAACAAAGCCGTGGGCAAATCTACACATGTGCACATTTCTTAACTCATGAAATATTACTTCCCTGAAGCAAAGCATTAGGTACATCTAGACATTTGCACATTTCTTACCTAAGAGACCTCAATGGTGAATCCGTCTTGCATGGTTGAGAAGCACAGGTGATTGAAAAGTGGTGCGTGAATCCACAGGATAACTAGCTTTCATCAGTAGAAAGAATAATTTCTTTTTTGAATGTCCTATATTAAATCTACCATCTATCTATCTATCTATCTATCTATCATCTATCTTATATTCTATTCCATATTTAATTTAATAGAATCAATTTAAGATTTGAAGACATTCCTTTAAAAGCACGATTGGACTCATCCAAAGTTTGAGCATTATGTAGGTTCTAAATCAATAGGTACTAGAGTATAGAGGAGTTCATTAACTTTTTTAATATTAAAAATGGGTCTCCAGCTGAACAAGGACAACAGCTTTTTTCATAACTCTCCAAACTGGAAACAATCTTAAAGTCTCTTAACAAGAGAATAGACAGAAAGAAGTGCAGAATAGTCACATGTAGGAGACTGTTGCACAAGAACAAAAATGAACAAAAACTAGACACAGATGACAGCAGAGATGAATCTCATAAGCACTGAGTTAAACAAAACAGTGAGGGGCATCTTGAGAGCCAGACACACACAAAGTTTTAGATATGGTTCAGTTAACAAGCAAATCTAAGTAGCAATCTTTAGGGAGGATTGAGGATATTGATGTTGAAGGGACATGAGGAAAGTTTATAGAGTCCTAAGAACAAAAGTGCATGAATGAGCTCACAGGTAAACTTAATTCAGCTATATACTTAATGATTTATGAGTACTTCATTTATATACTTTATTACTGTTATTTTAAAACATGTCAACAAATTCCATGACTCTGCTCCATCAAGGTGTGAAATCTGTTGTGTAAGTGGGTGTGAGTGTATACACGTGTTTGCATGTGTGTTGGGGGTGCAAGCACTTGTGTGTGCACGTAGAAGCCAAAGGTCAACACTGGGTGCCTTCCTCTCTCACTTTCCACCTTACTTTTTGAGACAGTTTCTCTGAACCTGGAGCTCACCAATTCATTAGACTGGCTGACCAGTGAGCCCCTGGGCTCCTTCTGTCTTTCCTTTCTACTGCTAGGATTAGAGGCATTGCCTTCCACTCCCAGCTTTTTAAGTGTGTGTTGGGGAGCTGAACAAAGTCCTTATGTGAGCACTTTACCCACTGAGCCATCTCCCTTGCTCCCAAGAGGAAAAATCTTTTTTTCACTTCTTGAATCAGGACTGAATTTAAGGCTCATTTACATACAATAGGAAGAATTGAAAATAGAGCTCTGTGATTTCAGAGGCCAAGTTATAAATGGCAATCAATTTGTTTTATTGATTACGTTTTATTTATTTATTTATTTTTGAGTGTTGAGTCATTATAGAAAAAATTCAAATATTCCAAATATTCCATTTCCACTATTTGTAGGAAACCTAGGTCACATGGAGAAGCCATAGGGCAAGTGGACTATCTGAACCCACCTCCAAGTCACTCAAGTCCAGGTACCAGATACCTAAGAGAAGATATCTCAAGATGATACAGGTCCAAGCTGTAGAGTGCCACCCTTCCCTCTGTCCCCAGTCTTCTGAGTTTCAGTCATTCTGGAGCAGAGAGAAATCATCCTTGCTGTGCTGTGTTCCAGAGCACCTTAAAATACCTGCTTCACGCCTCTGGGTTTTGATGTGACTTGTTATGCACCACTAATAACACTAACAGGATTTTATATCAGGTTAAAAATAATATGAAAACATGGGAAACCAAACTCAAGAAGTAATGGGAACGTGTGTTAGGCAGGATTCTTTGATTGAAAGCAATGAAACTCAACTTACCTGAGCAAAAAAGAATTAAGGGTCAGGGTATGAGGCTGGAAGGTCATAAAAGAACAAAAGGATTCAGAATAATCCAGAGATTCTTTGGGAACCTAAGTAGCAGAGACTGTTTAACAGAGTCAATTACTGCTTGAAGATCCTTTCTGTACCACTCTGATCAAGACTTTAATTTTTAAAATTATTTTTAAATTATTTTTTATTTATTATTTTTATCTTATGTGTATGAGTGTAACTCCTGCACATAGGTAGGTGCACCCTTGTCACACAATGCCCGAAGAGGTCAGAAGAGGGTGGCAGTTCCTAGAATTGGAGTTACAGATGGTTGTTAGCTGCCATGTGGGTGCTGGAAACTGAACCCAGGTCTGCTACAAAAGCAATCAGTGTTCTTGACCACTGACCCATCTCACCAGCCCCAAGACTTTAATTTCAAGGGAAAAACTCCTCTATGAGTCACAAGTCCAGCTCTTGTCCAGCTGAAGACAGGTGAAGCAATTTGTAGCTTTTCCAAGTCCCATATGCAATGAGAAAGTTAGGTACCCCCATAGGAACTGGGGTGCCCTGTTTACAAAAGTAGAAATAGATACAGGGCATCCAAAGCCCATGTGATATGGAATCAACAGTTCTAATGAGATTCCTTCTCCAACTCCCTCTGGATTCTGGTGACTTCATATTCTGAACTTAATTTTATTCTGTAGTTAATATTATCAAAAGATTACTGAGGTAAGTTAGGATTCTGGTGGGCTAGGCTAGGTTTTATGATTTTTGCTTCTTCATATTTACACGCCCAATATGGGATTTGTTAAACAGGGTTAAGAAGGCAGCAGGTAGGTTGATTTGGAAAAGAAGCTGATGCCAAATTATCCTTCAGGAATTTTAGAGCTTTATTAGAAGAGAGGCCTTGCAACCATGGGAACTATGGTGGGGCCTAGAGGTAGAAAAGCATTAAAAACGGTCAGTACATCATATTAGAGACAACATGCTGGGGCCCTAGTGAGAAAGAGAGGCTTCCCTTTAAAACCAGAAGAGGACATTCAGTGAAAGGGATAGTTTAAAGTAAGAGTAAGAGAGAAAGCAGACATGACAGGAAGGGCAGAAGGAACCTTCAGAGAAATCCCCCAACAACAGAAAACATCTGGCTTTTACATCCTTTTAGGAAGTGATGGAAAGTTCCACACCATGTGATTTAGTCTGGGATAGCCCACAGAAGAAGGTGCATG